CTCGATCACATTAGGTATGAGGAATAGAAGGCACCGGTCTTCTTGCAGACGCAAGTTAGTTGCGGGGAGACTGACCTACCGCTTTGATGTGCTCTTGCTTTTTTAATGTACTTTACCTATAGGATTTTTTGCGAAACAGTGAGATGCCTACAGCAGTGATGGACTGCTCGTACATAGTGGTGGACTGCCGTACAGCAGTGGTGGACTGCACTATAGAAGTTAAAGACCGGCGACGCGACGATAACGATACCGATAACGATAGAACCTACCGTCATCGTTTCCGTTATGGTTGTGGTAAAACTAAATTAAGCACAAACAACGGTAGGGAGCGGCGACCTGACGCAATAGAAGGATTTCGTGAGAATGACACACTTCCTTGTTTACGACACGAGATATGTTTTAAAAGCCTCGAAAAATCCCCTTCTAGAGTTAAATAAAATATGGCTGAAAACAATATTAACGACGCTCTGGCAATCGCTCATAACTTAAATGTAATCGATGACGAAGAACTGGCTCTTTTAGAATTTGAGAATAGGCCGAAGCCTAATCTGGAGATTCCATATTGGCAGTACGAAAAATTTGACCTTGATGAAATGACAAATGACGAGTGTAAAGGCGAGTTCAGATTTGAGAAAAGAGACATTTTTAATTTACAAGAAATTTTTCATTTCCCAGAAGAGATAGTAACATACAACAGAATTAGAGTCGACACTACGGAAGCTATCTGCATATTATTGAAACGTTTTGCCTATCCATGTAGATATATGGACATGATCCCAAGATTTGCTAGGCCAGTACCTGAAATTTGCGTGATTTTTAATACTTTGATGCGAATGTTTTATGAGCAGTGGGGTTTTTTATTGAATTCTTTCGAGAGAGAAACACTATCGCCAGTGAATCTTCAAAGATACGCAGATGCAGTGCACGAAAAAGGAGCACCTTTAAGAAACTGCTGGGGATTAATTGATGGAACTGTCAGACCAATCTCCAGACCTGGCATTAACCAGAGAGTCCTTTATAATGGACATAAAAGAGTCCACACAATTAAATTCCAATCTGTCGCTTCTCCAGACGGTCTTGTTGCTTTTCTACATGGTCCATTTGAAGAAAGAAGGCACGCCAGTGGAATGCTACGAGAATCTGGCCTTGTGCAATTACTCGAGCAGCATTCTGTTTCTCCAAATGGTGATATTATGTGCATTTATGGAGACCCTGCATACCCCCTTAGGCCACATCTTCAAGCCCCATTCAGAAATGCAGATCTCACAGAAGAGCAGCAGCTGTGGAATCAACGGATGAGTGCAGTCAGAGTCAGGGTGAAATGGTTGTTTGGGGACATAATAAACTATTTTAAGTTTTTAGACTTTAAGAAGAACTTGAAAATACAGCTTAGTGCTGTTGGAGAGACGTATTTAGTATGCACCTTGTTAAAGAATGCTAGACATTGTTTTTACGGTAGTACTATGTCAGAATTTTTTCAGCTTGAACCACCAAATATTGTAAATTATTTTCAGCATCCATGCATCAAATAAAAACAATTGCAATAGAAAAGATACTTCTAACAGAATTTGTACTCTCTTATAATTTCTTTGCTTTTGAGGATGCTCGCGATTGACATATACACTTACTGTGGGGGGGGGGGGGGGGGGGGTTGGGGGCAACAAAGAGTTGATGTTATTTTTGAGGAGAGTAGAGGGGTATCACAAAATTGACAACAATCTCTGTATTACTATTATTATACTTGTGACTAATTCTTATGAACGTGATTCAAGTGCACCTATTAAATAAAAGTGAAAATTTAAAACCCTTTTGCCTATGACAACAATAAAGGAACATTGACTTGCAAGGAGAACAATGTAATAAGAAACTTTGTAGATTCAACTATCAGTTTGTAAAAGTAGATAAACAGATAGCTATAGACAACAGTTGGAGCAAGCGAAAATTTTATAATATGATTCTAACATATTACTTTATGTGAAAATGCAGGTGAAAATAAAAATTTACATCTAAAATTATTCTGTAGCATTAAAATGCTGCATCAGTGTCATAATTAAACTGTTCTGATGCTGCAACTGTTCGTTAATTTGCGCCAACATCTCATTTTGCCTTTCCAACTGACTTTTGATGGATGTCAGACGCTTCTCCTCCCTTTCTCGCTGCCAACCCCTCTATTTCTCTGCATACTCTCTCTGCTTCTCTTTCTCCTCCAATGTACGCTCTTTCAACCCAAACTCCTTTTTTTCCATTCAATATCGATTTTTATTTTTTCGTTAAAAAATTCGAATGTATCACTTCCAGTTCTCTGTGCCCTCTTCTCCTTTCCCTTTCCATCGTCACCTGATTTTCTCTTTGCTGACTCTCCCATACTCTCCATCGACAGTCTTCGCATCTCCAACCCTTTCTCTGCATCTAAAGCCACCTTATTAGCTTTCTCTTTTGCTGTATTTGCTTGCTCTAAGTTGGCTGTCTTGAAAAGTTCAATCAGCTCATCCAAGAGTTTGTCAATATCAGTAATACCAGGTGATATACCACTGGCCCTTTCTTCCTCTCTATTTTTTGATTTCCTCTTCTTGAAGAGATATTGGAACCGCTCTCTAGTGGACCTCTGGTTTGTTCCAAACACAGGACATTCTATTAAGTTTAATGTATCTGCAATTTTCTTCCATTTATCTCCTCTCTCTGCACTGCCAGCCCTCGTCAACCAAATTTCCGAATTTAGTACTTCTCGTAGTAAAAGCTCATCATGGGCACTTGTCCACTTAAATCGTTTCCTTAAAAACAATTTTAAAAACAGGTAATAAAATTGTCAGTGTTTACCCTAAAGTTTTCAGGGAATCTTGTTAATTTCTCTTGATGTTAATTTTAACTGTTGGTGCGGTTGGCCTATTAAACAATATCCTCAGAAAAAATACACAGTGATTACTGCAGGCAAAGCTAAAAGAATTACTTTAGCAAAATAACATTAATCAGGCAAGTTCTTGACTTTCACTACCAAAATCAGTAGCATTTCAGTAAAATCCTGTAGCTTTAAAACTACGGACATGGATCTTACAACATTCAACAGATTTGCAGGCCTGTTTTCATCATGAAAAAAAACTACAAATTGTTTAAAACAGTAAGAAACTCACAACTTACCCACAAATTTTTTGGTTTGATGATGAGGAAGCCATTTTCAGTTAAAAATCCGCAAAAAATGCAAAGCAATTCAACATACAACCCTATCGTTGTCAGAGAACGATAGATCTGATCTCTATCGTACTAGAACGATGACTGAAAACGATAACGGAAGGGGAATCTCCTATGACGTGTGCGCACTAACCAGATTAGGCTGCCTGTGGTTATCGATATGGTTATCGTCACCTGTGCATAAACTGCCTAACGTGAACAAAGATGTTGGCATGGAATCAGAAGAGAGCAGGAGACCTGCAAACAGCAATACAGGCACACGATGTTACAAGAAGCCTCCATCCACAAAATCCGCAACTGGATATGCAGTTTTTTTCGTTTTCTGTTGACTGGTGGTTCATTTCTTAATATTCTGCATATTTGACAAAAAGTGGGAGTCCCAAGTCCCTTAAGCCCCTTCTCCTTGATGCCCGAGGCAGTACAATATTCGTGGTATGAATCCATTGACATGAAATTTGAAAAAGAAGCTTTCATTTTATTTGTACCTGATTTTATACCATTCCATTGTTAAAAACAGTAAGCCCCACAACGTGAAAATAGGTGGAGTGCCTGAGAGTTTTTTACGAAAAAGCATAGCCATTATTATCTAAGCTGTGGTTATAGTTCTGGCACCAGATCTTTTTACATTTTGACTATTTATCCTGCAGACAAGAGCATTCAACTAAATTTTAGTATTTGCACATAAACACGCATACATAGGAACAAAGGCAAAGTCCCATGCAAGATTTAAATTGTCCCAAGGCCTCTTATGTGTGTTCCTGTGAAAAATTTTTCTCGTGCTTGCATGGCTAATAAATAGACAAAATGCTTAAAGATCTGGTACTGGAACAATTACCATAACATTAAGAATATTATATATATATTCCGTGAACACTTTTAGAAGTGTAACTTTTGTGTAGGCAAAGTAAAATGGATCGTGTGGTTGTTTCCTGGGCCTATTTATCCATTGATATAGTTTTGTTGATGCCCTGTTCATAGGAGCAAAATTTAATGTTGACAATCATCAACCAAGGCAGAATATATTTAATTCACCAAAGTCATGTATTCTTCAAAAGCAAAACAATAAGACAAAAAATCCAGTTGATGATCAACTTCATCCACCATAGGTTAATCTCACCCTGATACGTGGAAACATGAAATTTACATAGCTCTTATCTTTATGAATAAATCGGTAGATTGGGGCTAAGCTGCAATAAAAAAACGGTTTTCTTTGTGTGTTTGATTACTTAATTCCTTTAAAACCTTTTAGGCATGCATGCTAATTTTTACATGCAAAACACATACTCAATTAGGACAATGTTAGAAATTTTGGCAGATAAGGCCTGTTGGGCGTGAAGGATGTGTCTAGGGAACAAAGAAATATTGTTATTTATATCCAGGTATAGTAACAAAAGTCAACATGATCCTTTTCTATGAGAGCTTGAAACGATTTTTTCAGATAATGTTTTTTTATCATATATGTACAAACACCATTTTCTTCCAGAATTAAAGGGGATGTCATTGCATAACAAGAACAAACATGCACATTCCATGTGCAAGAACTGCCATAAGAAGAACAAGAAACATACAAAGAAAAATCAAAGCAGAATTCTAACAGGAAAGTCAAAATAGAAGAAGTTCAGGGCAAGGCTAGAGGAAGGTTGATTCGCCAAAGTATTCAAAGGATACATGCCGAGGTAAGCTACCTTAAAGATCTCTAATGTGAGCTCAAAATGATTCTGGTAGCATATTTAGAAAACCGTTTGGAATTCTCTTTGCAAGTTTTTGTTAGCAAAGGCCTTCAGAGAAAAGAGCTTTCTGAATAATGAGAAACAACTCTTTTCTATATTTATTCTGGTTTATATCTTTGGCTTTTGTAACACTGCAAGGTTCATTTCAGAGAACCACAAGCATGGAATTTGGCCTTAAAGATTATACAATGTTTTACACAAATTTGGAGCACCAATTTTTGTAGGAATGTGGGAAACATTTGTTGGAAAATGTATTTGCCTTGAAAAGACCCAAATCCCTTTTGTATATACAGTGCTTGTTTCTGCATCCCTAGGTTCTTGTCATGTTGATTTACAGTTTGCTAATACAGAGTGTGAATAGGTAGAGAGGATTTGCCACGAGAGAAGACCTTGACAAAAAAGTGACTCTGATCTCTTATGCACTTTCAAACTTTGGCTATTGATTTGCTAGATTGTTAGATCAAGTCTGTAAAAAATATTGGTTTGGAATCATGCTTGCTTTGCTAAATGAAAGGGTTAGACTATCGTGGACTTAGCTCCTTTGGTCACTGAAATAACTCTTATTTGTAACACTTATTTGTAATTCTTTTTTGTATTTATTTAATAAGTGTCGTGAAAGTGTGCCTTTCAATCTACTGTAAACCTACTATTGAATTCAATGAAAATTAAAGCCATTAAAAATACAAAAACAGGGTTTTGTATATATTATATATATTCATGCCCTAAAATTCAGTAACTTTACCATTCCTCTTCAGATGGACTTTCTAGACCATTTTAGATGCACTGGATTTGCCCTTTTCCCAGGTTCCAAGAAAGAAGAACAATTTCTTTTGGAAAACAAAGATGTTGGTCAAAAATGTTCTTCTTTCATAAGTATGTTTCCTTTTTTCTTGTCAATTTATGCAAAGTAGCTTCTTTGCAATGCTTATATGCAAAAGCACAACACTTGTAAAATTAGAGTATTGATTTACTGTATGCATGTAAGGTGGATTTATTCAGGCCTGGCCACAAGACTTTAAGCAGAGGAGCAGTCATCAACCTAGTAATTTCCAGATAAAAGTAAATAAGAATGTTATATAAACAAAGGAAAATAGATTTCAAGGAGAGCAATTTGCTTTTTGAACCATTTAGGAGATTAATCTGTAGCTCCCCTCCAGCATTTGAGGAAAACCTGGAGGTGAGCAACAGCTATGGCTCTCCTAAAATGGCCAGGCAGGTTTATTAGCTACATTTAAAGCTATTCATCGTTATGCAGATAGGAATATTTTTTGTAGAAACTTGCTGAAACAGTAATTATTTTTGTTGGCAAAGAGTGTCTTATTTTTTAATACATCAAACTGTAATTGCTTAATACCAACAGAACTATACCTTATTAACATTCATCCTTTGTGTTCTAATCCAGCCATCAACCTCTGTCTTTTATTGTAAGACCAGGGTAGTTTAATCTGCAACTGCATATTATGTTATAAATTAAATTCTTTTTTTTTACTGAATAAAGCATCACCTTACTTCATTTACATAAGTGATTTGGAAACTCTGGTTAAAAATCCAACTTATTCCTGTGCAGTTTAGGAAACATTGTTGAATGTAGAGTATTCTCCTCACATTTTCATCATAAGACAGTCAAAAGTTTTGAAATGAAAAGTATAGCTCTTCATTCATAAAAAAATTTATTTTGCCTCTATGCTAGTTTTGCCACATACACCTGATTACAGTCAAGATGATATCAGGAGATTACTAAATGAGAAGTATAGTAAGTACATCCTTCAACGTTTTTTATCCCATTGAGACAAGACATGCAAGGTGAGAATTTACATAACACCTTTTAGTATATCTTTCATTTAACAAATTAGTAAGAATGGAGTAACAACAGGCACCTTCCAATCCAAACATTTTTAAGACGTGGTTAAGCTACAGTTTTTTTTAACAGAGACTGCACCATCAGAAGTTGAGACCTTGCTTGTAAGATAAAGCAAAGTGGTTTATTCCTGAGGACTGAAGAATAGTGGCACTTTTAAAAAATGTTTACTTCAATACAATATCAAACAATCGAAGAATAATACATTCACATTTGTTGTAAGACTTCTGTTTTGAATTTCTAAGTGAGTTTATTCACTGAGTTTATTGAGAATTGTGCTGGTGCTATTTGATGGTGTTATTGGGGACTATTTTGCTTGCTTAATTTAACATTTATTAATTTCGATTTTTCTACAGGTAAATTCACTGGCACCTTGAAACAGGTGGAATATGAAAAGTTCAACTCTTCATTTGTGATGAAAGACTGGCCAGAAAATGTTCCCTTTATGCAGCCTGGAAGGTTCAGCCAGAAAAGAATTAAGACAGTAATGGAGGCAATGTCAGGGATAGAGTTCGAAAGTTTTCAGGAGAATATTGAGATTATCCAAGAAGCCGATGATTCTTCAACAGAGGTCAAGGGGACTGATGAAGCGTTTCTTCCAGATCCAAACGATGACATTGAGGCTTCAACGGTTATTCATGTACAGTACATATGACAGTGGGAAGGCCAAGAAAGTTAATGCCAAAAAATTATTTTTTGTGAGAAAAGAAAGTGTTTTTCCGGTCATTCCATCACCGGCAGATTCGAAAAATAAATTTTATCTGTTTGTTTGTGGTAAAAAAGCCAAAACAAACAACATTATAAAGGGAAAGTGGCTTGTAAAAAGTGGCGACAGGGACTTTGTCAAATCGCGTGACGAGGCATCTGTGCTTGAAAGCAATGTTTATGTTAAAGACGGTCAGAGGCTGGTCCTGCGCGAAGAAGACTTCGAAATCAACGAAGCAGGTTTTTATCGTTTAACGATTGCAACAGCATGAATGATCGAGGCTTTGCATGAGGACCTGAAAGAACTGTAATAAAGTGGAGAACTTACTACCTCTTCAAGGAAGAAAGATTGGTCGTCTTACTTTTCTATAATACTTTTTGGTTTCTTTTTTACTAATCAAAGAAAGTACATCAAAATTTATGTTTTTTTTCATACTTTGTTTTCTTAGCAGTCACAGGTTTCCTTAAAGTGAAAGAAACTTTAGAGCCAATAGACAGAAAAGGGATATATCAGAGATAGTCCAAACATGATTTTTCGAAATACAGCAAAATTGAGAAAATGACCAGACCCCTGCTTAAAAAAGGTATACGAAAAGACCAACAATTTTTCCACCAGACCGATCGAAATTTAGCAGTGGTTTGAGTTTACAGTAAATTTATGTGATCACAATTGTGATGTCGCAGATGGTGATTTTTTTTGCACGACCTACACATTTTCAATTGTCCATGAAATCCACAAGAATATTGAGCAGTTTGCTGAGAAAGATACTCACTTAGAAAATACTCACTTGCACTAAGAAAATACTCAATTTTCAGAAAATCAAATAAAATTTGGGTCGATTATTTCATTGCAGTAGCCCTTTAACAGACGCCTATTTCTCCCTGCCTATTGTCGAAGAATACAAAAAATTACTCTGCTTTGAATGGAAAAACAATCAATACTCTTACCAGTGCTTGTGTTTTGGGTTGTCCCTTTTTATTTCACAAAAAGAATGGATTCCAGGAAAATCATTCAGTTGAACATACGCTTATTAGTATGACTGAAGTCGTGAGGTCAACTCTTGACAATAAAAAATATGGCTGTGGTATATTTCTTGATTTACAAAAGCCTTCGATACTGTTAATCACAATATTTTGCTCTCTAAACTTAAATGTTATGGTATCAGAGGAAATGCCCTGAGATGGTTTGATTCATATCTATCAGATAGAACCCAATATATTTAAAATAATGGAACCAACTCTGATCGTATGAATGTTACTTGTGGTGTAACTCAGGGATCTGTACTTGGACCTCTTCTCTTTCTAATTTTCATTAATGACTTGCCTAATGTCTCGAGAAAATTGAAATTTTATCTCTTTGCCGATGACACCAACATTTACTATGATACAGAAACTCTTGATAAACTTGTTAAAACAGTTAATATTGAGCTTAAATTCGTAAAAAGATGGCTTGATGCCAATAAGCTATCATTGAACATAGACAAAACTAATTATGTTATCTTCCATTCTACCTCATCGTCAATACCTCCAGACATTGTAATTGAAATAGGAAAAAAACACATCACCAGAGTCAAATATGTTAAGTTTCTAGGTCTTCTGCTTGATGAAAACCTAAGCTGGAAGTATCATCTTGGTGAACTTTCCAAAAACCTGGCAAAAGCGTGTGGCATTCTCTCCAGAATTCGAAATCTTCTTACATCTGAATCACTGATATGTATCTATAATGCTTTACGCTGGGTACGTTGCAACAATGGCTGATAAAAAGATCATGTGTCTTATTTGCAGCAACGCAATGGGAAGCACAAAGCATGTGAGTTTAACAGCAAGCTTTCTGAATCTCAAAGATAGGGGAAAGCCAACATCAAGCGTTATTGTGGTTTGCAATGAGAGGGAAAGATGCTTTCAACGAATGCTAGCAACCACATGTGGAAGGTAAAAGGCTTTCCAGATGCAGTCGCTTCGAGTGTTTTGGCAGGTATCAATCTACCTAGAGTATTCAGAGAACTTGGAGGCCATATTAGTCCAGAGGGTCAAGGAGAAGCATTACTACCCGACGAGGGATTCTACCAGACCAACTTTATCTAGACCAGATGCTGTGAATGATGTAAGAGGGAAGCTTTCTCGAAGAATATTTGCAAGAGACAAGAAAACTGCAGACCCATCTGCACGCCTCCAGGCAGTCTAAGCTTTAGGAAGCACATCTGCTCAAACTTCATTGCAAGCCTTTGGAGAACAGATGGAAGAGCCATAGCCAAAAATAAAAAAAGGACTATTGCATCAGTTGGATGTCAAGAATGTCTAGATCAGCCATTCTTAAACTATGACCTGCAGCAAAATTTCATCCGGCCCGCTGAATGCTTTTTACCTGGAAAACATTTTTGCCAACATTTTCAAAATTTTAAACTCAATTTATCTTTGGTTTTCTTTTCTCCCTTCTGATATTTTTTCTCTGTTGTAAACTTCAAATGCGTTTCATTTGACAGTTATTAGTCCATAGCGTTTCCTTTTTCTAATCAACAGATAAAACTATGGAGCCTAGTTATGAAAACGCTGTGCAGTCTCTTGATGTGACTTCAGGTGCTTCAAACCGACCCAACAAGAGACTAACAAAGATTAACGTCCTAGCCTAAAAATAGCATAGAACGATCTTCTTAGCCTGGTACAAGAAACATTAAGTTACAAATCTTTGTGAAAACTATTTTTTGGGTTCATGGGAAGGTAGCTAAGATAGGCAGGCACGATATAAAAGGCCTGTCTATCTCATCACTAACTTAGCCTGGTAAAAATGAGATCTGAGTTTCATTTTGAGCAGCCTACACAATGTATGTAAAAGTTGTTAACCAACTGGCCCCTGAAGAAAATCTATAGGTTATTCTGGCCCAGCAACTAAAATCTATTTATTTATTTATCTTATCTATTTATAGAACAATCAGTGGCTTTATCCCAGGTTTTGGACATAGTCCCCTGTTTATCGGAAAAGCATCATTTTCCGCCAAATCAACATTGACTTTTGAATTCAACACCAAAAACTGGTTTAGAAAAAGTTCATGTACAAGGTATAGCATAGTGAAATGTAGTATACTACCTGCAGTATAATACCTGGTAGAATATAACATCTTATGACGGCCTGTTGAAAAAGGATTAATAAAATCTTTCAGAACTTAAAGATTGCCCAAAAGAAGAAAAAAATAAAAAGGCACAAGAACTTTACAAGATGCTAAAAGAGAAGGATAAGAAAAAAACTGGAGACGGAGGCAGAACATGTCAACTTGACAAACATGAAAGACATGTCTTTAGATGACATAGAAAAGTCAGTGAACAGCTCAAAGAAGAGGATTCTAAAAGAAGTTTATTTTTCGTATATCAGTTGATAAATTCAATTCTTTGTTTTCTCAATATCAGCTTATACTTTCAATATTTAAAATTATATAAATGTTGGTGTATACAAAAGCCCAGACATACAGAGCCCAGAGTATACAAAAACTCAAGAATGCTAATAATTACTCTCATGTTTGAAATTAACACCTAAACCTCTCTCTCGGGCTTATTGTTTTTCTGAAAAAATACACCATGGCATCCTTATTGCCACAATGATATTTTTAATCCTTGTATACTTAAAACATGAACATGTTTATAAAGAGCTGGAAATTTTATTCAAAGAGAGTATGGGAAAGCTAAAAACCTTTCAAAAGTGGCTTTTACTGGAATTGCGGTCTTCACCTGGAATTCACCTGCACTGTTTTTCTCACTTGCCTACTTACTGCTCTGTTTCAGGGTCTATATAATTAATGTATATGTGTTTATCAAAGAGATAGACATTTGTTTATCTAAAGTATTCCACATACCTTTCTGTCATATATCTTTCAAAGCCTATCAATTCCGGGCTTGAGTATACATGGAACGTTTTTTTAGTACATTTGGTGTACTGAATTTTGATGGGGATGATGTTGAGAAAAAAGCCAAATTAGATTTATCTGAAAGATAAGTTTAGGTTTCAGATCGAAAGTAATATTTGTGTAATATCTTATTTACAAAAAGTGCCAGTCATGACTATTCATACACCAATAACTAAAATTATTTATCCTCGTAGATGCAGTGTATGGAACAATTTGGATGCACTGGCTTCTCATTAGTGATGAAACCAAATGGAAAGATTTTGTCAGCTTAAACAGCAAATGGAGAAGAATTTATTGTCAAAAAGCGTCAGCTTAGTAGGAGATTTTCATAATATAGTAGTATGTATATTATCATACCCCTAGAGGCCATCAAGCGCTCGACTCATAAAATTCTCTAACTATTTCCTGACTATGGGCCCAAAAATGCATGGAAACTTTGAATTGAACACAAATCATGAAAACAATCATGTAT